TTGGCTTTCAATTGTGTTTTAGTTTCTTGTTCTTAACATCTTTTGTTGTGATGGTGGTTCTTTTCATTAGAGCTTTATTTTAAAATGTTGGATATTGTGTTTTCTCTTATCAGTTTTACATCATCATAACATTTGTAGGGGTTGAGGGAACAGTGGTAGAGTGGTAGGGAGTGTGTGTGTGTTAGTTAAGCCTCTGAATTTCTAAAAACATATTGCCCCACTTTGTTGTTTTTATTTAGGAAGGTGTTGATTTGGTATATACTAATTTTGTAATATTTTACTTTAATGACTTCTGCCATTTATTTCAAGATCCTTTCTTGCTCTTTCTCTTGAGTTTTCTAGAAATAGAATTATAATTTCCACATACAGTGAAACTTTTACCTCCTATATATTAGCCTTGGATTTTTTTTTATATCTCATTTATGTAAATTGTTCTGGTTAATTTTTCCAGTGGGCGTTTCTATATTATTGTTCCTCACTTTTATTATAATCAGATGCTTTTAAGAAGCATTTTTCAGGGAACCAGCAGTTAGTGTAATGGCTATGTCGCTGGACTCCCACGTAGTCGACTGCGGTCTGTGTCCCGGACCCGGTGGCTTAAAACTCACGCCGGGCGCGTGTGTGTGCGTGCCCAAGATCCCGAGAGGAGAATGGAGGAGAAGGGATTGTGGCGTGGCCATCCCCCTTGGGGGGTGATTTCTCGCTTTCTGTCTCTATGTCTCTCTCTGTCTGTCTGGTGAGCGCACGCGCCCTACAGTGAAAATCTCTCCAAAAAAAAAAGAAGCATTTTTCAAATGTTGTAAAGCAGTTAGTTTTTATCATGTGTGGCTGAAATATCTCATTTCCATATTCACTTAGTATGTTTTAATGTAGTTATTATATGTGATGTCACCAAAATGTCATTCTAACAGTAAATGACTAAAAGGGAAATTCAGAATCTTTAAAATATAAATTTTCTTATTTTAGATTTTCTATTATGCTGATCTTCTGTGTGTTACTGTGTTTGCTTTAGTATTTTATTGATCATGTGCCAGTTAAAATCAAAATATCATAACCACTGATAGCCTTTCTCTTCCCATATAGGGAATGATGGAAATTTTAAGAGAAATTTGCATGTAAGCAATAAAATTTCTAATGATAAATGAACTTTTGTTAAAATCATCTGATGTGTATCATTATTAAAAGAAAAACTTCAGTTTTATTTTCAAATAGATTCTTAAATCTTTTTATCAAAAACTTGCAATAGTTAAAATGTTGAATAAGGTTCAACTGATGGAGTCATCTTTAAGTAAAAATTCTTAACTTTGAATTGAGTTCCCTTGATCTGAGCAGTATCTGTTCATTTTAATTGAACTTTCTTATTTTTAACTAGTTTTTGCACTGTGATTCTATCCTTTCGTGCTGTTTACGATTTAGTGTTTTATGCCAGTAGCTAATAATGAGTATGTTGTAGTTACTGTCTTTATAATTTTTACTAAGTACGGAATACCTCTCACTATACAAATGTGTATAGTTCATTAAGTTCTTTAACATGTTTGTAAATCACGTAGGTGCACAAAGCTGTGCCTTTTGTGATTAGATTTGGTGTGTCGTTAATTTAGTGGTGGATATCATTTCTCATTTCCTATACAATTTAAGGACCCTGTTGTTTTTATGGGTGGTAATGCTAACTCATGTGTTTATTTCAAACGTATTTAAATAACTCCAATCAGTTTCAGTTCAGATATGTGAATTCAAATTTCAGTGTTAAACCTTTGCATGAAAATAACTTCACAAAACTAAAAATCCTTTAGAGAAATGTTGATAACTCCGTTGTGTAAATTCCTACTATGTGTGCATTTCCTTCTTCACTGACTTTAGGTTGTTTTTGGTCATCTATTTTCATGTATTCAGCTTTAAAGAGAGATTCTACCATTTGACTTTTTTACATACCTAATTTGGTGTTTTAGAGTTGTTCCCTTTACTCCATGCGTACTCTGCCCACATAAGCTTAAGTAGTCACACTAAAACTACTAAAAAAGTGTAATGGATTCTCCTCCCCCCCTTTTTTGGTTAAGAATTAGTTTGTTTATTTGTTTGTTTGTTTATTTATTTATTTAAATTTGACCAGAGAGGGACAGAGTGAGAAAGAGGAGGAGGGAGGGAAAGTGAGAAAGCAAGCTATCAGGTCCAGGACTCAAACCGTGGTCGGCCATGTGGGAGTCCAGTGCCCTTAATCATTATGCCACCTGCCAGCCCCAATGGATCCCTTTTGTATTTTCTCCTGAAAGACTTAGAAATTAGGCAACTGTATAGTTTATTGGTTGAAAGCACAGACTTTGGAATCAAATAGACCTGAGTCTGAATCTTAATTTTATTGTGTAATAATTTAATATTTGTCCTTATAATAATTTTTTTAACCCTTAAGTTAGTTTCCTCTTCTGTGCAATAAATATCATATCAACCTCATGGGTGGTTGTGACGATTAAGTAGGTTGATGCATGTGGAACACTTAGCGCCCTACTCATGGGAAATGCTCAGTAACTAGCCTTATTTGTTCCTGTTACTTAATGTAAAGGTAGTAAACAAATTTATTCATCCTTGGTGATTTGGTCGGTTTTATCTAGGAAAGGCTTAGAGACTAGGTGAAGGAAAAACTGTCTTTAAGTGCATTTCATGTCAGAAAAGTGGCTAAGTTTATTCTTTGAAAATGGTATAGTTAATTTTTTTCTATATGGATTAAGTTGCAGCTAAATGTACAATATAGAGTTAAGATAAAAATAGAGTTCTGGAGCAGTTAAAAGCAAAATCAAAATTTGGCTTATATCTTGTTACAGTAACTTGGCTTCTTCATGAAATTTTTTGTTTTTTAAGGGTTTTAGGTTTTTAATGTATCTCTTAGAGGTCCAGCTGTGGTGGCACAGACGGCAGGGCTTCACTGCACAATGTTGAAGTCATATGGGAAGACTAGGGATTTGGATCCCCTGGTTGACCTGAACAAGCCAGGCATTCGATCTTGGCTGATTGCAACACTGTGTCTGTCTTGTCTCTGGCTCAGAAAATAATACACTTAAAAAATAATTTCTCCTAGACTTTTCCAGACGTATTTGAAAATTCGTAACATATTTGTTGTCAGTGCAGTAGACATTGTATTGTAGTAGTTGAAATATTAGACTGGGAGTTTGGAGATCTTGATTTGAGTCCTGGCTTTGCTGTTGAGTTTGTACATATGTCCTTATATTTCTCAATGTCTAAATTCCCATCTATACTCTTCTGTTTATATCTTACCTACCTCACCTACCTACTTACTTAGTTTCTCAGAAAATGAGATGAAATAATTATATAGAGGTACTTTAGAAAGTATAAAGGCCTTTGCAGAGAAAAACTGTTACCTTTGTTCTCAGCTTCCTTTTTGTTTATGTACAAGTTTTCAGAAAATAGAATGTTGGTGGTCTCTTATGAATGATTACAAACAGAAACTCTCATGCCTGTTATTTATAATTCTGTGACCAAAGGCGTTTTGGTGACTGTTCTGTTCGATTGTGGGGTGCCATTACTTTAGTGGTGATGTTCTTTGGCATTCCCCTAAAGAGCCAGTAAATAGTTCCTAGATAAACTTATTTTTTCAGGAAGTGTAAAACTATAACTATAGATAGACTTTTCAATCTTTGCTCAGAATTGATCACATCTGTTAAGCTTTTGATTAATTCTACCTGTGGTTTTAATTAGTTTATCTGCATTCATGCATGTAGTTTCAGTGTATTAATTTATATTTAAGTGTTTTTGTAAGTCCATTTATGTCTTTTATATGTGACTTGGTCTTGTTTTTCTCAGCTAGCTTGGCGTCTCCTGAAGGGTAAAGACAGTCATCCTTTCCCTTTTTCCACAGTAGATTCATAATAGAGGTGCTCTGTACATAATGACTTCTTACCGATTGTGCTGTAATAAAACTTTCACTAGAACATAATGGTATCGATTGGCCTAATTTTAAAAAAGTATGTATTTGCACAGATTTTCAGTTGTTTTAGTGTATGACTGTTTAGAAATAAATACAAAAAGGTATCAAAATAGTGTACTGCTTGATTTAAAAAATACAGTATTAAAGCTACTGTATATTTTAACTTAGACTCTTTTTTTGTTTGTTTGTTTGATTTTTCAAACAATTTGTCAAGTGTATTTGGCTGAAGGAAATCCAAGAGATTAAACGGTTTAAATATTTAATACTATAATATTTTGGGATAATATGACATTTGTATTGTTAATAGGTACAATTTCAATACTTCTGAAAATAAAAGGAATTATGCCCATTATAACATTTTCTTCTTGTAAAAAGGCACAATTTTATAGTCTCAGTTCTGTTACTTCCTGTTATTCCATTAAGTTAATTTATTAAAGTTTTAGTGATTACTATAGAATTTTCTGATGTAAACCTTGATATGGAGGAGACTCTTTTTGACATAATTTGCTAATTTATTTAGAACTGACTATATCTGAAAGAAAAAAGAAACTACATTTTATTTAATCAGAGCTTTCTCTAAAGCAAAACAATATAAAATTGTATTAGTTTTTCACTTAAAATTTACTAAAGATGATGTCTCTTCCAAATGAATGTTTGCACTTTATTTTCCAGATCTTTTTCCTCTAATATCAATTATTGCTTTTATTAAGACAATTTTTTTTATATTTTCTTCAGGAATGTCATTGTCTGCCGGATCGTCCCCTCTTCATTCCCCCAAGATTACTCCACATACCTCTCCTGCACCCAGAAGAAGAAGTCACACTCCAAATCCAGCAAGTTACATGGTGCCTTCTAGTGCCTCTACACCCGTTAATAATCCTGTTTCTCAGACTCCATCTTCTGGTCAGGTGATCCAAAAGGAAACTGTCGGTGGAACGACTTACTTCTATACAGACACAACCCCAGCACCTTTGACTGGAATGGTATGTCTACATTAAGGAGGAAATTATAGTATTCTTAGAAGGAGGTTTACCTCCTTGGATCTTCTCCTTGTGATGTGAAAACATGAGTATTTAATTTTACTTGAGTATTTTTGATTTATACAGACAACTCTAGCACCTTTGACTGAAATGGTATGTCTACATTAAGGAGGAAATTATAGGATTCTTAGAGTAGGTTTACTTCCTCTTGGATCTTCTTATTGTGATGTAAAAATAAAAGTATTTGATTTTCCAATTTAAATGAAATTTCTAGCATCTTGTCTTTATTAACCTAGTTCTACTTTATTAGTAACTTTCTTTTGTTAAGTCTGGTTTAAATAAGTAAAATTATAGTCATTCTCTATTTTAGTACTTATGATACATTTTGTTGATGGGGTTACCTAGTACTTGTGCTAATGAGAATTGATATTCACTGATACTTGTTTATAGGTATAGGTAATTTTACTTTAGTAAGAAGTTAGAGAAAGTAAATGATATCTCATCATAGTTTTTTTGAAAACAGATTAGTAATAAATTTCAAGCATCTGATGAGGCAGCGATTTAAGAGCTAATTTCTGTATAGTGAAAAGATACATAGCAATAAGGTGTTTGTAGCAAGAATCAGTGCTAAGGAGGCAGAAAATTTAGGTTGAAGGGAGCTGTGATTGTGGGTATGGAAAGAAATGCCAAAAGCTCATGATGAAAAGAGAAATGAATAATGGAACAAATGGGAAGAGACAGACCCAGGAAAAACATGAATGCAAAGACCAAGAGAGGAGAGAAAGATTTCTTCTCAGAGTGAATTAGTGATGTTAGGAGAGAAAGAAAAAGCAAGAGTGTTTGGGGGTAGGGGCATATTGTTATATTACAAAAATTGTATCTTTTTAGTTTCATTATTTTATTCATGTTAAAAAATTATTACTTTAGAAAAATAAGTAATAAAAAGCTCATGAATAGTATATTTGCATTTCAGTGAGCAGTTTTTTGGTCACTTAAATTAACAATTTATTTTGATTAAATGTAATATTTTTACTAAGAGATAATAAAAGTGAAAAGAAAACGGGCTTTAGTTTGGTTTTTGTTTTATTTTTTCACTTTATGAGAGAGGGAGAGGGAAAGGACAGAGGCAAGCATAGGTGTCTTTAAGAGGGTCTTGCCTATCATGATCCTTCTGCCCTAGCCTCTAAATTAGCTAGGATAACTGGCATATCCAGCTGTGCATGGAAGGTTCAGCGTGGCCCAGGGACTGGACTGAGGCCTTCGAAGTAACTTCTGGCCTCCCAGTCTTTCTCATTAGATTTTTAAAAGTTATCTTTAATTGCACATAATAACTGTATATGTATATGGGGTAGAATGTGATTATTCAGTATATAAATATAGTGTGTAATAATCAAATCAGTTACTTAGCATATTCATCTTCTCAAACATTTATCATTACTTGTATTGTTGGGAACATTCAAAATCCTGTTTACTGGCTACTTGGAAATAAAAATTATTATCAACTATAGTTACCTTACTGTGGTATAAAACACTAGAACTTATTCTCCTTATTGAAGTGTAATTTTGTGTCTGTTAATTAGTATTTCACTGATAACAGCCTATAATAACTACTCTTCTACTTTCTACTTCTAATGAGGAACTTTTTTAGTTTCCACATATTAGTGAGAACATGTAATTTTTTTTTTTTCTCTGTGTCTGGGTTATTTCACTTAACAGAATGTCCTCCATGTTTGTCCACATTGCCTCAAATGACAGGATTTCATTCCTTTTTAATGGCTGAGTAGTGTTGCATTTTGTATGTGCGTGTGTGTGTTTATTTAAGTGTCACATTTTCTTTATCTACTTGTCTGTTGATGGACACTTAGATTGATTCCATATCTTGACTATTTTGAATAGTGCTGCAGTAAACATTAGAGTGCAGATATCTCTGTGGCATACTATACTTGAATATATACCTAGTATTGGGATTTCTGGTTCATCTGACAGTTATAATTTTAGTTTTTTTGAAGAAATTCTGTACCGTTTTCTATATTGGCTGTATTAATTTACATAACAACCAATAGTGTAAAGAGTTCTCCATTCTCCACTTGAGTGTCCTTTTTTTTTTTTGTCTTTTTGATTTTAGCCATTCTAACTGCAGTAAGTGATATCCCATTGTGGTTTTGATTTGCATTTGCCTGGCTCCCTTAATCACTAGCCTATAAGACCATCTTGTTTTAGTTTTTATTGCAGAGCTCTTTTGCCTCCTTGGTTCAATTTATTCCTAGGTATTTTATTTTTTTGGTACCTGTTAGAAAGTGGATTGCTTTCTTGATTTGTTTTTGAGCAATTTGTTATTGGTGTATAAAATGCTATAGATTTTTATGTGATGATTTTGTATCCTGCAACTTCATTGAACTCATCAGTTCTAATAGCTTTTTGGTGAGGTCTTTAGGTATTTCTCTATGTAAAATCATGTCACCTATAAACAAGGACTATTTGACTTCCTTCTTCCCAATTTGGATGCCCTTTTTTCCCTTTCTCTTGCCTACTTTCTCTGGGTAGGTCTTCAGTTCTGTGTTGAATAAGAGTGGTGAAAGTAAATATCCTTGTTTTGTTCCAGTTCTTCTGTTTCCCCATGATTTTAGCTGTTTGTCATACGTGACCTTTATTGTGTTGAGGTACATGCCCTCAGTTAACTTGTTGAATTTTGTTTTTAATCATGAAGAAATGTACTTTTTTCAAAAGCTTTTTTTTTGTTTTTTTTGAGATGATCATATGGCTTTTGCCCATTATTTGGTTGATGTGATATATCACATTTACTTATTTGAGTATGTATGTTAAACCATTCTTGCATTTCTCAGATAAATCATACTTCATTATGGTATATGATTTTTTTGATGTGCTTTTGGGCTCTGTTTGTTGTTATTTTGTTAAGGAGTTTTGCACATATGTTCATTGGTAATATTGAAAACTTCTCTCCCCTTTAATTTGTGGTTTGAGAAGAACTGGCTATAATTTTTTCATGAAAGTTTGATAAAATTTAGTAGTGAAACCATCTGGTCCTCAGCTTTTCCTTTTTGAGAGACTATATTACTGGCTAGTCTTGTTGCTTATATTGGTCTTTTCAGGCTTTTTATTTCTTTGTGGTTTAGTCTTGGTAGGTTACATGTATGCAGGAATTTATCCATTTCTTCTAGGTTTTCCAACTTTTTGGCTTATAGTTGTTCATAATTGTCTCTAAGATCCTTTGTATTTCAGTGGTGTATCATATATCAGTAGTTATGTCTCCTTTTTCATGTCTTATTTTATTTATATGAATATTCTTTTTCTTGGTCTAGCTAACGATATTTTTCCCTCAAAAAACTTACTTGTGTTCCTCGTCTTTTGTATTTTTATACATATTTTTTATCTCTGCTTTGATGTTTATTATTCTAATTGGAGGGTGGGTTTTTGTGTGTGTGTGTGTGTGTGTGTGTGTGTTTTGGTCTTAATAATTAGTTCCCTTGAATTGTTTCATTAGGTTATTTGAATTCTCTATTTTTTTTGATACAGGTGCTTATTCCTGTAAACTTTCTTCTTAATTCCACTTTTGCTATGTCCCATAGGTTCTGGTCTATTATGTTCCTCTTTTCATCCCTCTCCCCCACCATAAGACATTTTAGGGGCCAGTAGATTGTGTGGTGGTAAAGGCACTGGACTCCCACATTGCCAACTATAATTCAAGTCCTAGATCTGTTTGCTTGCTTTCTCATTTTTTTTTTTCTCTCTCTTTCTCTCTTTAGTGAGCACATGTACCCTATAGCAAATAAAAAAGTAATAATAATGAAACATAAAATTAAATATTTTAAAAACAGATTAATTTTTTGTTAAATTTTTTGTGTACCCATTGGTCATTAAGGGGCATTTTGTTTACTTTCCATGTATTTGTACAGTGTCCAAAGTTCCTTTTTTAGATTTCTTATTTCATTCCATTGTGGTCAGAGAGGTATATGATATTTCAGGTTTTAAAAATTTGTTGATGTGGACCAGCAGTTGCCATAATGGCTATGTTGCTGGACTCCCATGTAGTCGACCACCGTTCAAGTCCCAGACCTGGTGGCTTAAACTCACGCTGGGTGTGTGTGCGTGCGTGCCCAAGATCCTGAGAGGAGAATGGAGGAGAAGGGATTGCAGCGTGGCTACCTCCCCTGGAGGGGTGATTTCTTGCTTTCTGTCTCTCTGTCTCTCCTGTCTTTCTGGCGAGCATGAGTGTCCTGTAGCTAAAAACCTCTTCCAAAATAAAAAAAATTTGTTGGTGGCTTGTTTTGTGGTCTAAAATATGGTATGTGCTTATGAATAGAAAGTGTATTCTGCAGCAGCTGAGTGAAATGTTCCATAGGTGTTTGTTAGGTTCATTTGGTGTGTTGTATAGTTTAACTTCAATATTTCTCTCTTGATTTTCTCTGATGATCATCCATCTGTTTCCATTTGTGTGGAAAAGATACAGACTGGTTAAACGGATTTTAAAACATGAGACCCGACTGTATGCTTCCTATAAGAAACCTCACCAGTAAGCATATTAACATATATTGAAAGTAAAATGAAAGAATAAGATGTTTCACACAAATAGAAACCACAAATGAACAGGAGTAACTATATTTACATTGGGTAAAATAAGCTTTAAGTCAATAACCATAAAAAGACAAAAGGTCAGTACAATAATGTTAAAGGGATCAATTCAAAAGCAGGATATAACAATTGCAAATATTCATATACCTGGGTCACCCAACTATGTAAAGCCAATGATAGATCTGTAGAGCATGAAGACTCCAATACAGCAATAGTTAGGGACTTTAATATTCCACTTTAGTAACAGATAGATGATCATGAGATAAAATCAACAGAGAAATATTAGAGTTATACTATACAACACAGTTTGATTCCTTTTTCTTTATCATTTGCGTATCTGTCCTACCATTTGGTTTTATCTATTCATGTGGTTTTGTGAGATTAGTTTTTCTCCTTTTATTTCTAGATACCACATTCCTTTAAGCATTTCTTATAAGGCTGATCAAGGAGTGCTGAATTTCTTCTGTCTTTGGGAAACTATTTCTCCTCTTTTTTTTTTTTTTTTTTTTTACATTTTGTTAGAGGCCATTTGTTCTTACCAGAGAGAGGGGTGGGAGAATAAGAAGGCATCCCCAGTGAGAATGGCCATGTACCAATCTCTTCTCCATTTCTCTATCCTTTTGGAATTTTGGGCACACATGGAAATTTGCTTGGTTTGTTTTTTAAGCTATTGGGTCCAGTTCTCAAACCAGATAGTCAGCCATGTGGAATTTAGCTGCTTTAACCACCATGCCACCTTGCTGGCCTTCAGAAATTATTTCTTCTTGATCTAGTCTATTGTTGAAGCTTTCATTTGTATATTTATTTCATTCATTGAATTTCAATGAATATTCTAGCTCTGTGCTTTCTGATGATCTCTTTTTTAAAATTGCATCTTTTTTGTTGAATTTGTCAATCAGTTCATGAACTGTTTTCCTGATTTTATTGAATTGTCTATCTGAATTTTCTAGTATCTTGTTTGGTTCCCTTAACATATTCATTATTTTGAATTCTTTTCAGGCAATTTGTACATATTTTTTTTCTTTGGATTCTGTTATTGGTGAAATATTGTGTTCCTTTCGGGGTGACATGTTGCTTTGCTTTTTTATGCTTTTATGTCCTTATATTGATATTTCTGCATCTGGTGTAACAGTTTTCTCTAACTAATTTTATCATGTGGCTTTTGCAGTAAAAGATATTTTTCTGAATATGGATTATAAGATGTCATTTGAGTGGGGTACATTGGCTTTGGTTCAAGGTGGTCTCAGTAATGTAGTCACCACATAATTTCTTAAGCTATATTCAACCTGAGCAGTATTTGTGAGTACTTCATAGGTCTCTGTTGCAGGGACCAGTGGCTGGCTCATCTACCAGCTGGTCCCTGGCTTTCCTAAAAGTAGAGAAGGTTTGTGGGTAGACAGTGTCACTCCTGTGACTCCATACACAACTCAAAAGTTTTCAGAGAACACACAGTTCAGAGGGAAGGGTCTGTCTTGCTGGGACTCTCCATCTTGAATAAGTGTCTGCTATGGCTGGCTGATAAAATTTATTGTCTGCCTCAGGTGGATGATTCTCATTAGCTTTATTAAAAGTAGTTACTGAAATACAAGATTATTTTTAGAATGAACCTTTTCGAAAGTATTCTCATAATAGCTTTTCTCTGAGGTGCTTAATTCACTCTCATTTTAAGAAGAAAAAGTGGGCTGCCTCCATGGTCTGGTGGTTAAGGCAGTTGGATCCTACATGGTCAGCCATGCAGTTCAGGTCCCAGACCTATTAGCTTGGGAAACATGCCAGGTTCATGATGAGTGTATATACCCTCTAGCTTTAAAAAATGAAAAAAATCTATCAATTTATCACTATCATGTGAAGATTCAAATTTTTTTACAAAACAGTGATAAAGCTTATCATTTGAGTAAAATTAGTTATTACATTTACCCTCTCCTTACCTTTTTAGGTATTCCCAAACTATCATATTTATCCTCCAACTGCACCTCACGTTGCTTATATGCAACCAAAAGCAAATGCACCTTCTTTCTTCATGGCTGATGAACTCCGACAGGTATGCTTTCAGAATTCATAGTACATATACTAAATGTCTAATCTACTTTCATGAAGAGAGAAAACACAGAGCTCTTTTCAGATCATATTACTTAATCAAATATGCTGTGGTAAAGAAGATAGAATTTAGAATTTGTAAGTTTTAGTTGGTATTTATATTTAAGGAAATTTTTTAAAGAAAATTTAAAATGAATTTGTGTTACAATATAAAACATAAAATAGTTATTTAAATCCTCTACCTTTCTTTATTTCATATCCTTTCTATTGAAATGGCTCTTTGCAGAATATAAATTTAAATAGATTTCTAACATTTAAATAATTTGACTAAATTGTACATTGAAAATAAGTTATTTGGCCAAGTTTTGAGTTTATTTGTAGAAAACTCAATATTTTTTAAAAAACAAGGTTTTGTAAAATAATGTAGAGGTTTTTGTTTGTTTCATTTTATAGCAAACAGCTAGGTATTATTTGATGTATAGAAATTTGTTTTACACTCAGATTCTCAAAATTATTTTAAATGTTTCACAGATGTAAAAGTCTACCCAGTATAATATTTTTATAATGAATTATTCTTTAGCTTACTGGTAGACCTTGAATTTTCAGCCACAATGGTAGTGATATGCTTTGTTATAGCATAGCTCCTTAAACACAACTTTAATTATGAGCAGGTCTGTCTAGGACTGGGATTTAGACATATCACCATCTTTAGAAATGTTATATCATGATAACAATATTTTAAAACTGTGTACATACCAATATTATTATGTTCATGTTATTTGGTTATGATAGGAAATCTGGATTTCAGAAGCTATGTTAGATACAAATGTATTTGTTTCCTTTTCTTAGGAACTGATCAACAGACACTTAATAACAATGGCTCAAATTGATCAAGCAGATATGCCAGGTAAAATAGCAAGTTGATTCATCCTTCCTTTTAAAGGCTAGTATAACACTTAAGTAGCACTACTCGTTTTTATGGCTTACTATGAAGAACTCCAAGATGTCACTGATCAACCAAATGATTTCAATTTATACTGCATGCAACTGTATACTAGCTCAACAAAAAAATCATTTTAGAATATGTGATGATTTACTATGCACTAGGATTTTATTGTCTTCTGAAAGTTAATGAAATATAGCTTGTATGTGTGTGTGTGTGTGTGTGTGTGTGTGTGTGTGTTTAAGAGGTTTTGACCTGTGGGCACATGCACTTGCCAGAGAGAGAGAGACAGTGAGAGGGAAAGTGAGAAATCATCCCCAAATGGGGATGGCCACACCACAATTTCTTCTCCTCCATTCTCCTTCTGAGATCTTCGGCACTGCATGCACACATGCCAGGTGTGATATTGAAGCCACCGGGTCCGGGATTTGACCCACAGTGGAACATGTGGAAGTTTAGCAATGTAACCGCTATGCCATCCGTCCATCCCAAAGTATAGGTTCTTAAGTAGAAGGGGAAGATAATTATTATTTGAGACTACTGTGTGCCAGACTATGTGCTTTCTTCCTCACAAACATCCTGTGACATATTATTTTCATTTCTGTTTTATATATGAGGACAACTTAAGTTAATATGTTATATAACCTGTTTTTAGGACCAATGTCAAGGAAATGGCTAAGGTAGGATTTAAACTTAGGTTTTTCTCACTGTATCAGTGTTTCTCAGTAAGCATTAAAATCTCTCTCCCTAGCTTACTCTGTATAAGATGACTTCAGAAAGTCCATGACAGATTAAAGGGATTAAAGCACAAGTTTATTTTGGTGCAAAGAAACTTTAAATCCATGTTTTTTCTTTTCTTTTTTACTTTTTAAAATATTACCAGAGAGAGATAGGGAGAACACATGCCCTGATGTGATGTGGTCATGCTTCAGTCCTTTCTCCTTCATTTCTTCATCCTATCAGGATTTTGGACATGCATGGCCACATGCCTGAAGTATTTATCAAGCTGTTGGGGCAGGATTCGAACCTGTGGTTGCCAGTGTGGTTGCCAGGTCCTTTAAACATTAGGACATGGACCCCATGTAGTTTTTTATAATGCATATTTTCATAACTACATATAAAGTAAATATGGTATAATTTAGTAAAACTTTGCAAAAGATACAGTACAAATACATTTGCCATAGAGGTAATCATAAAATGCCTGGTTGTAGAAAAGATTCAGTGTAGTTTAGTGTGTGTTTTGATTGCTAAAGTATTAAAAGGAATATGCTTGGTAATTGTGTTGTGAGACTAATCTCTTAAGTTTAGATGGACAAGGATCTTACCTGTCATAACCTCATAACCTTTTAAGCATTCGGATTGGAATTCTTACTTATTAAACATTGTATTTGAGGCCCTAAACTGGGCAGAAATTTAAAACATAAAGAAATTTGGAAGCATGAAGACTGGAAAGGAGGGACCAGCAGATGGCATAATAGTTACGTCCCAGGACTCACATGTCTGACTGCAGTTTGAGTCCTGGACTCTGCGACTTGAAACTCACAGTGGGTGTGTGTGCATGTGTGCCCCAGATCCCAAGAGGAGAATGGAGGAGAAGGAATTGTGACATGGCCATCTTCTTGGGGGGTGATTTCTTGCTTTCTGTCTCTCTGTCTCTCCAGTGGGCTCACACACCATATAGCAAAATTCTCTCTTTAAAAAAAAAAAAAGACTGGAAAGGAGAAAATGATCTGTCAGCCATAAATCATATGATTGTCTATAAATTAGACAATATTTACAATGCTAAGAGTTTAGGAAATAGCCAGATATAAGATCAGTATGTCAGTTACACTAGTATCCAGCAACTTCAAAATATAATTAAGAAAGAATGCTTACTTAATGCTTTTGCAGGGACCAGTCCCATAGCCAATTGGCTAAGGGAAAAAGATGCCAAATGGCCAACTGCAGTTCAAAATCTGTCCTTTAAAACTTGAAAAACACACCAGGTGTGTGTGTGTGTGTGTGTGTGTGTTTGTGTGTGTGTGTAATCCCAAAATCCTAACAGGATGGACAAATGAAAAGAGAAAGAATTGTGTCCATGACCTCACTCCATTGGAAAGTGCCCCCTCTTCCTCTCTCTCTACAAGCACACACATCCTCTGATAATTTAAAAAACAAAAACAAACTGGTTTTGCAATAATAGTACCTGCCAATATATATAACAAAAGATGTGTAAGATCTCAACAGGTGAGATTTATTAAGAAGTATTAAACAAACAATGAAATACTGTATTCCTCATTTGTAAGATACAATAATTAACATGTCAACTTTATAAACTACTCTGTGGACTCAGTATTTATTCAAAGCATAATAGCCTTTTATGGAATATAGTAAGTTTTATCAGTGAATAAAGGGTTAAGATACCTATGGCAATTTGAAGAATATGGTTATTGTTCATGCTCGTTTGAAGAGTCTGTATATGTATTGGGAGAAAGGAGGCTTAATCTGAGTTAGTAGTGACTAAAACAGTAAGATAATGACATAGGGTTAGAGAAAGCCCAGACATATTTTGCGATAAAGGTGGCATATCAGTGAAGGGATGGAGAAACAAGGATTTGTATATGGTAAAAGAATAGTTGGGCCATTATTTCAAGCCACATTACAAAATAACTCCAAATAAATTATTAGCTTCCATCTCTAAATATTAAAGCTCTTACTATAAGGTATTAATGTATAGATTTACCATTCTAGTGGGGAAAGATTTCTTATACAGGACATAAAGATTGTTTTTGATAAGAAGAAAATACTGATGAGTATTACTGAAGTAAATTAAAATCCATCCAAATACACATATAGCAGGGAAAAAACTTAGAAGTTATTTCTAGTTTACATATCTGACAAAATAAAAAATCCTTACATATCATTAGCACACAAACAACTCATTAGAATAATGGCCAAAAGGTAAGAATTTTATGGAAGAAGAAACGTATATGACCAATAAATATGTGAAGAGATGGTAACTGATTAGGAAAATACAAGTTGTTATTTTTAAGCCTGACCATTTAGTGTTAGATATGGATCTACAAGTTCCTGTGTGTATTGCTAGTGATAGTGTAAATTGATGAACCTGTACTTTGGAAAACTCTTTAAGCTGAGTATCTGTATACTCTCTTCTTTAGCAGTTCTGCTTCTAGATAAAGGTAAACTCTCTATACGTTTTCAAATGGAAAATGTATAAGGTATTCATACTCACAGCAGCAGATACCTTGAGCAGTGCAAATGCCTATCTGCAGGGCAGAGGATTGAATTATGATATTGCCAGACAGTGGAATATTAGGCAGCATTTAAATGAAGAACACATACTGACATGTAGTACTACTGAAAAGTCTTGTAAGTTAAAAACTGAGTTGTAAGAGACAATGTATGGCACAGTACCTTTATATAAAGTTAACTAAAATTATGTATTTATATTTTCATATGTGCATATGTACATCAATAAGTATACACACAGTACACTTTGGAGAATGCATATAGATAAAACTATGTCAAAAGGAAGGAAAGCAGAAGTTGGCAAAATTGGTTAGATATAGGTTAAGTGAAGGTTTAAGTTTTTGTTTTGGGTGCCAATCTTACAGGCACTTATTCAGAACAATTAAGAAAATCAGGCTAGGGAACCAGCAATTAGCGTAATGGCTATGTCGCTGGACTCCCACATAGTCGACCGCGGTTCGCGTCCCGGACCTGGTAGCTTAAAACTCACGCTGGGCACGTGTGCATGCATGCCCAAGATCCCAAGAGGAGAAGGGATTGCGGCGTGACCATCCTCCCTGGGGAGTGATTTCTTGCTTTCTGTCTCTATGTCTGTCTCTGTCTGTCTGGTGAGCACATGCACCCTATAGCGAAAACCTCTCCAAAAAAAAAAATAAAATCAGGCTATGCATGGACATAGATCAGTTATTTGAGCAACGCAATTAAAGTTATGGTTACATTAATTCTTTGTGCCTAGATTTAAACATGGTTTAATAAGTGTTCTTTGTTTCACTTCTTTAATGTTCATCTTTTTCGTTTCTCATTGTAATTATTTTTTAACCATCAAGTCTCATGTTGATTCATAATTAACCTTCAGTCAAGGCTTTTTTTTTTTCTTTTTTCTTCCCAGTTTCATTTCAGTATTTCATATTTCCATGAAGATAGTACTTTTCAATTCTACTGTCTATTTTCTATAGATCAATGGGTCTCAACCAAGAATGATTTTATCCCTTCTGGACTTCTGGCCATGTATGAAATATTTTTGATCATCACCATGAGAAGCAGGGTGCTACTGGCATCTAGTGGATAGAGGCCAGGGATGCTGCTACAAGAATTATCCAGTCCCAAGATGTCAGTAGTAATGAGGATGAGAAATTCTGCTATGGATTTACCATAGTACATCTCAAATATTGAATGTTTCTTATCCAAATTTTCATTGCTCATGATCTTAGAAAGAAAGTAGAATTAAATAGGGGAAGTAAACTAAAACTTCTTTTTTAAAAATGTTTTTATCATCATTTTTAAAACTGTGGTCTAACTAGGTCCCTAACTAAAAGTTGAATATAATCTTCCAAATTAATTTTCTTCTTGTTTTTTTACCTCTAGAGTTTTCTTTTAACAGTAATCATAGTAATCATTTCAGCGCCTAACAGTGTATCCCTCTACCCCCCCAAGGGGGATGGCCATGCCACAGACCCTTCTCCTTCATTCTCCTCTTGGGATTTTGGGCATGCATGAACATGTGCCCGCCTTGATTATCAAGCCACTAGATCCGGGACTCGAACTGCCGTTGGCCATGTGGGAGTCCAGCACTTTAACCGCCACACCACCTACTGATCCCTCTTTTTTTTTTTTATTCATGCTTAATGATGTGCATTGGTTAAATCGAACTCAGAACAAAGAGCAGAACAACAATAAACATTCCTGTCTAATAGTGGAAACATTACCTTTTAAGGTTAATAGTATTAGACCACATAGAATTTATTTTACGATAAACTGAGAAAATACTGTTAAAAGTTGATTTTCAGGGGACCAGCAGTTGACGTAATGGCTGTATCACTGGACTCCCATGTACTTGACTGCGGTTCAAGTCCCAGACCTGGTGGCTTAAACTCACACCAGGTGTGTGTGTGTGCATGCTCAAGATCCCAAGAAGAGGATGGAGGAGAATGGATCGCAGCATGGCCATCCCCCTTGGGGGATGATTTCTTGCTTTCTTTTAGCCTTTCTTCTCTGTCTTTCTAGCAAGCGCGTGAGCTCTGTAGCAAAAAAAAAAAAAAAAAAAAACTTACAAAAAGGGTACCACAGACAGGATTCTACTTGAAAACCAGTGGCAAGGATGGGCTCCTCCTTCCTTGTACAAGGGATGATTTTCAAGAAAAGATAAAATTATGACATATAGCTATAAAAATGTATATCAAAAGATTTGATTTATTTGACTCATGAGGGAGGCAGTCATACATAGTAAGAATATTGAGATTAATGGGCAAACTGGTTTTTCTACAGAGAAGTAGGGAAGTTTATTGACTCTTTACTAAACAGGATACACTAATCATGTCTAGATAACAATTATTTTGCAGTGTTATTAGTTATATACGATTAGAGAGTTATAAAATATCTTCCATAAAATCAGAATTCAACACCTGAGGGATATCCTTTAGATAATATATAGTTTTCCTCTAAAGCATAAAATTTTCCTTATAATCTGTAGCATTCAGCATAACACGTTTGCCAGTAGACACAGGAGTTAAGATCATAGAATTTTCTAGTTCATTATGTAAGTTCTTAAGTCCTACTTCAGACCTGCTGAATTAAAGACTCTGGGAGTAGGGCCTCATAAACAGTTTCAACAAGACTCTAAATAATTCTGAGGGATGCTAAAGTTTAAGAACCAGTCCATGGTAAATTATACTTTTTTAATAGCTATTTTGCTTGGTATTATGTTTTATATAAATTTGTATCCTTTATTTTTCTCTGTACCTCTTGAGGGTAAAAATTCATATTTCATTAATATGAGTTCACTAGTACATAGTTCTGTATATTTACACTAATTTGAAATGAATTATTTCCTGTATTAAGTATTCTTTACAAAATAGCTAGAAACAAAATTTACGCAACATTTGACTCCTTTGTGAAAATTACTGGTTGTTTAAAAATATCAGTTGGTCCAGAATAAAAGAGCTATATAGTCATACTATATAGTCATTCCCTCATACTGCGTTTCTTTTAATAGAATATGCCACTTAACCTAGATTTGAAAGTGACATTGAATCAACCATATACGTTTTGCACTGTGGCCAAATTGCTATCTAGGGGTTATTAAGAACACAAGACTACAGAATCAAAGCATTAGGTTTGCATCTGAACTTCCTCTGTTAGCTGTGTAATCCTTGTTTTTCTTATTTATGAAATAGGACAACCTACCTCATATGATTTTTTGAGAATTAAGAATAACAAGTGTAAACAATTTGGCAAAGGCAGAGTGATCAATTTGATCCTGTCTACTGGAATTAGTGAAAGTTTTCTTAATAGGGTTTTACCTGTATTTCTTACCAGTCATAGGTCAAGAATTATCAGTTCCATTTGTTTGTAGGGTTTTTAAAAAGTGATTTAATGCCATATTTAAAAAAGTGTTAAACATGTTTATTGTAAAACATTTGGTAAATACAGAGTAGTGTAAAGAACAAGATAAAGATCCTTCCAATAAAGGTTATCATTGTTAAAGTTTTCTTATAAACTGTATGTTTAGTTATTATCTTTTCACTTAAAGTAGACATTCCTAAGTCATTCAAGATAGTTAATAGAATGGAACCCTAACTGTGTCATGAGCAAATATCTATGCATTATATACCCTTAAATACAATTTTCTTTAAGACACATGGAAAGTATGATGGTAAAGATTCTTTTTTTTTTCTTCTTTTATATTTTGCTAGGAGTTAAAGCTATGTTAAAGCTCTGTTACTGAGGGAGCTGTATGTATAACCAGTTCTCTGTTCAAGTTGTACTTACTGAGCCAAAGGTTGTTTTTTAAAGAGTTTTGATACAGATTGTTGTATTTATTAGTCCATTCTTAGATACACATGCAGATATATTATGTATATGCTTACACTACCCCTATTAATCTGATAAATATATTTTATTCAAAATTAACCATTTGAAAAAATAAAATCCATCTTGGCTCTTATTGTGTATCAGAATCAGAAATATTTACTGTCTCTCAGTGATAATTCAGATTGTTTCTAGTATTTGTTTCTGAGAAAACAAAAATTTGTATTGTGCTTTAAAAGATAGGACATATTTTTTGAGTATCTATACTCGATTTAATTGTTCTATGGTTGTTTTATAATGCCTATTTTTATTGATACTGAAGCTTTATTTATTTATTTATTTATTTATTTATTTATTTATTTATTTATTTATTTATTTTTTAGAGGTTTTTGCTATAGGATGTGTGCGCTCGCCAGACAGACAGAGAGACAGAAATCGAGAAATCCCCCCCCGGGGGATGGTCACGCTGCAATCTCTTCTCCTTCATTCTCCTCTCAGGATCTTGGGCACGCACGCACACGCGCCCGGCGTTGAGTTTTAAGCCACCGGGTCCAAGATGCGAACCGTGGTCGACTACGTGGGAGTCCAGCGACATAGCCATTGCGCTAACTGCTGGTTCCAAGCTTTATTTTTTTTATAATTATTAATGTTGATACTATCCTATAATACAAAATGTGTTGTAATACATGAGCATTTATAGTATGTTTAATTTTTTTCTTTATTTCTTTAAGAGATTTATGAATATCTGTAATTTAAAGTCATCTTTCTATCCATTACTCTAGCAGTCCCATCAGAAGTTGACAGCTACCATAGCCTATTCCCTCTAGAACCACTGCCACCCCCTAACCGGATTCAGAAATCAAGTAATTTTGGATATATTACATCTTGCTACAAAGCTGTCAATAGTAAAGATGATCTGCCATATTGCCTTCGGAGAATACATGGTAAGGAAGATAAGTTATCCTCTTTTACTTCTTTTCTTTTATCTTCTGTTCACTTTCCTTCTCTTTTTTCCTTTCCTTCTTTTTTCCACCCCTCCACTTTTCTTCTTTTCTTTTTTATTTTCAGGTTTTTGCCATAAGGACATACTCTTGCTGGAGAGAAACAGAAAGATAGTAAGGGGGGAAAGTGCACTTAACCCACAGGGAGCATAGCTACATCACAATCCCTTCTGTATTTTCCTCCTGGGGTATTGGGCTTGTACACACACATGCCCAGCATGATTTTTCAAGCCACCAAGTCTAGGAGTTGAAGCGGGGTCAACCAAGTAGGAGTTCAGTACTTTAACCATGACCCCACCTTCTGGCCCAGTTGTCCTATTTTAAAACCACATTGTCGAGGGTAAGATCATTCAAACTTTCCTGAATACATTGATTTATTTAATGTGAGAGTTTAATGGACAGTGAATAAGTTTATTTTTTTTGCTTAGAAATTAGTATCTGGGAACCAGCAGTTAGCGTAATGGCTATGTCGCTGGACTCCCATGTAGTCGACCGCGGTTTGTGTCCCGGACCCGGTGGCTTAAAACTCACGCCGGGCGCTGGTGCATGCGTGTCCAAGATCCCGAGAAGAGAATGGAGGAGAAAGGATTGCGGCGTCACCATCCCCCCTGGGGGGTGAGTTCTCGCTTTCTGTCTCTCTGTCTCTCTGTCTGGCGAGTGTACGCGCCCTATAGCGAAAACCTCTCCAAAAAAAAAAAAGAAAGAAATTAGTATCTCATGGGACTAATAGATAGTGTAATAATTATGTTGCTGAACTCCCACATGGCCTACTGTGAACATCCCAGACCTGAAGGCTTGAAACTCATGCTGGGCACGTATGTATGTTCGCCCAAAATCCCAAGAGGAAAATGGAGGAGGAATTGCGGCGTGGCTTACTCCCAGGGGGTGATTTCTCACTTTCTGTCTCCCTGTCTCTGTCTCTCTGGCAAGCACATACACCCTATAGCAAAAATCTCTCAAAAAAAAAAAAAAGAGAAGAAGTATTGGTATCTCATAAGCAATGTATAATATGACTTTTTTTACATTTCTAATGGAATACGAGTGAGATGTCATTTACAGTTTACTGCAGAAAAATTTTCCCTCTCAGGTTTTCGCCTTGTTAACACAAAGTGCATGGTGTTGGTTGATATGTGGAAAAAAATTCAGCATTCAAATATTGTAACCTTGCGTGAAGTATTCACCACCAAAGCATTCACGGAGCCTTGTGAGTAATTTATGATTTTCTCTGGCTGGTCAGCTTTATTATTTGAAGTCAGATTTCAATAGTGAGTGTTTGTGTTTAATTTTAAGCTCTGGTGTTTGCATATGATTTCCATGCTGGAGGAGAAACTATGATGAGCAGACACTTTAATGACCCTAATGCTGATGCCTATTTCACCAAGAGAAAGTGGGGTAAGAGAAAAATGCTAGCAGACTATATTTTCATAAATGCTTTTACTCTGAGAAAGAGTTTTATATTTTAAAATATGTATAAATTTATCCCTGAAATCATTTGGCTAAAGACTGCATTTCATTTTTAAAAGAAATAACTCAGAGTTAATCTGCAAGAAGTTAGGAAATATATATATTTACTGAGGTAAAAATGGGTTGTAGAGGACTCATAGATATCTGATGTTAGAAATAACTGAGAATATTGGGACTAGCATTTGGCATGATGGCTTTATCGCTGGGTTTCCATGTTGACTGCAGTTCGAGTCCCGGACCCGGTGGCTTAAACTCATGCCGGGTGCATGTGCATGCATGCCTAAGATCCTGAGAGGAGAATGGAGGAGAAGGGATTGCGGTGTGGTCATCTCCTTTGGGAGGTCATTTCTCGCTTTCTGTCTCTGTCTCTCTCTTGTCTTTCTGACGAGTGCATGTATCCTATAGCAGAAACCTCTCTGGGGTGAAAAAAAGAAATAACTGGGAATATGTTAAAACATTTTTTTCCTTTTAAAAATATAATAGTTTCTGAATAAAGATGATATGAAAATTCTATAAATTTAAAAGAATCTTTATGGCTTTACTGCCAAAGCATTGTGAATCTTTTGGTACATTTCTTTCTAGTCTTGTTTTGTTTTTGTCTCCTTTTGCATTGTTTTGTTTTTATCATTTTATATTATAGTGTGTCACTCATTTGTTTTATTTTCCCTTGACTTTTATTTCCTCTGAATATATATTAATGATTTCCTATAATCCTGCCTACCTCATCATTTTTGCAGTTATTTCCCTAAATACATTATTTTATTGAAAGGTAGGATTCTGTGTTACTTAGAGCATCAGTCTTCAAAGTAAGTTTCCAAGTTACTTTCACTTAAACATGGACTAAGAAGTATTTTCTTTTTATGCCCCTTTTTAATATTTATTTGAAATAATTATTTTACAATTCAGATTTTGCAGAGAGCCAGAATACTTTAAATATATGTTAACGTTCATTACAGGATAATCCTGACAAAAATAAATTTACTTTGAGATGTCTGTAATTTATATATTTGGGGACGGTCTGATTTTTCTGGTTTGGTGACTATACTGTAGTTTTTCATCTTTTTAAAATTTTTCCTAAAAAGAAAAAAATTTTTTTGACTGTGTAACTGACAGAAATAGTGAGGAGAGATTTGTGTGTACATTTTAGTAACTTTCAGATTGTGGCTCCTTTAAAGACTCATTATAGATACATGCATATTACTTCTGTTTATTTGTGACTGTGCTTTCTTCATTCTGACAGTTGAATGAAGACAGATGTGGTTAGAGGACTGTTTTACTTGAAAAATCTGGTCATATATTGTGGTCGTTTTTTCCTTTTGCCATGTCATCTGCAGACACATGTTTTGTTGAAGAGGATGTGGTATAACTTTTCCTATAGATGAATATAGTTGTTGCTCAAGTTTATTTTAGTAATAACACCTGTGAAATGACTGTTGGCTTTAATTTATAGCTGGGTTTCTCAACCTCTATTGACGTTTGAGGCTGGATAATTATTTCTGTAGGGATTGTTTGGTGCATTGTAGAATATTTGGCAGTAGCCTCTACCCACTGGATGCCAACCCCTCTGCCCTAGTTTTAGCACCAAAAATATTTCCAGACATTGCCAAATGTCCCGTGGTGGCAATATCAACCCCTGTTGAGAATTGTTGTTTAAAGCACTGTTTTTCAGGGGTTTTTTGTTTTTGTTTTCATCTTAATTATTCTGATTTTAATATTGGCTGATTATTTGATATATTAATACTTACATTTTCATAGGAATCAGTCCTTTTTCTCATATTTTAAAGTATTGTTTGAATTACAGGAACTCTCCTAAATACAGCACACATGGATGAAAGCCTGCTGAATTTGTTTTAATTTGTCGGAGGGCATGTGTGCTCTCCAGAGAGAGGTAGAGACAGGGTAAAGTGAGAAAGCACCACCCATGGGGCATGGTTATGTCACAATCTTCACTCCTCTATTTCTCCCTCCTTTCAGAATTTGGGGTATACATGCACACCTGTTTGGTGTGTTTTTTAAGCTGCAGGGTCCATGAATGTAACCAGGCATTTAGCCATGTGGGATCCAGCTGCCTTAACAACCAGACTGTGGACTGGCCCATGTGCTGTTTTTTTAATACCTTGTAATTTATTATCTTAGCACATACTGAAAAAAAAATCACATAAGAAATATACATACTAAGAAAATAAAGAATAATAGTATACCATGTAGGGGTTAATAAAAGTTTTCTTTTTTTGAGAGAGATTTTTCACTATAGGGCGTGTGTGCTCACCAGACAGACAGAGAGAGACATAGAGACAGAAAGCGAGAAATCACCCCCCAGGGGGGATGGTCACGCCACAGTCCCTTCTCCTCTCGGGATCTTGGGCACGCACGCACACGTGCCCGGCGTGAGATTTAAGCCACCGGGTCCGGGACGCGAACCGCAGTCGACTACATGGGAGTCCAGCGACATAGTCATTACGCTAACTGCTGGTTCCCGGGGTTAATAAAAGTTTTAAAATGATTTGATATAGGTAAAGCAACTAGAATAGAATCTGTCACAGTAAGCACTGTATTTGCTGTAAATATTTATTTTCCCTATTATCCACTATTGAATAGTTTCTAAGATAAAAACTATTCATAGTAATCTTTGATGTTGTCTTGGTGTTTGTCACTAGGGCCATTTTTTTAGTCTTTTAATACTTTCTTTCAGTGTGTATTATCTTCAGTTCTGTCCACATTAAGAGATAATAGTTTCTGAATTTTGCTTAGGCTTCATTACTGAAGATTTTATCCCAAGTTATAGCATATTTGCTATTTTTAATCTTCATAATTAACTGTTTAACTGTGTTGCTTTTATATCTGATTTCTCCTTTTTTTAAAATATTTTTTATTTTATTTACTCATTTACTTATTTTATTTTGACCAGAGAGACACAGAGAGAGAGAAAAAAAGTGAGAAAGCAAGCCACCAGGTCCAGGACTTGAACCATGGTTGGCCATATGGGAATGTCCAGTGCCTTAACCACCACACCACCTGCTGGTCCCAGCTTTTATATCTGATTTCACAGGAAGTTGATTTATGTCCATATAAATACATGGTCATATTCCCTGGAATAATTACAAAGTCTGGATTAAATTTATATCCTTTTCTACTATTTTAAGTATTAACAGTGAACCAGCAAATATTATCAAAAAACCCTTAAAAGAGTTGATAGAATATGAATGGTTACTTTTCATGGTACATCTGATTTTGTTTGTGTTTCATTATACAGAGGTAACATTCAGTGTTTCATGTTTGTATGAATGAGTGTCATCCTATCTGACTCATCTGTGATAGAGGAAACTGAACAGTATAAGGAAAATAAAACATTGAACATAAGTGATGGTAGAGAGTTTTTATTTCTCTCACACCAACAGAATGAATAGCTCTTACACACTCGAACAATGATATAGGCTAGGTGGTCTACATTTTAGATAAAATAATCTCTATGGTTTCTGTTTTTAATCATAATTTATATTTATTTGGTTAGCAAATAAATAGAAATTCTTCCTTAATTTTTGTTTATTGTTCAGTAATTATGTGGTTATAGAAAGCTTTTTAGTGAGAGCTCTGCCACTGCTAACAATATGAGGTATAATCTCAGATACAGGAACATCTGGGCTTGCCTCTTAAATTCTTACTAGTAGACTAAAATTAAATTTTATACACACACACATAAATTAACACATTGTGCCATCAGCATCTTTTTGGTTGTTGTTATTTTGGTTTGAATGTTTCAGTCTTTGAATTGATTAAGTGAAGATGTTATTTTTTAATGTATTTGCATTACAGGTCAACATGATGGTCCCTTACCCAGACAGCATGCTGGATTACTGCCAGAATCTCTTATTTGGGCGTACATTGTCCAACTAAGTTCTGCATTGCGTACCATTCATACAGCAGGTTTGGCATGTCGAGTTATGGACCCAACAAAGATTCTGATAACTGGCAAAACGAGGTACCAGCATTTTTTGTTTGGGGCTTCTTTGCTAAGCAGCTAACCTATGACTACTTAGTAAATAAAGCATGTAGATTGTAGATTGTTTTAATTCTACCTTTTCCTACATTCCATCCAGAAAAAGTGCTTTGACTTTTAAGTTCATTTGTATTTTTTTTTTTTTAATTCTTAACAAAATGCCTGGTTATTAACTAAAAATGATCATGGTTAGGGCTGGGAAAATAATACCAGTACAACTTTTCTGTATAGAACTGCGGTTCTTACATTCTAGTATGAATCACAATAACTGAAGGCTTATTAGGTGCAGGTTGTTGGACTCTCTCTCCCCAGAGTTTTTCCTTCAGTCAAGTATGCAGTGGGGCCTGAGGACTTGCATTTTTAACAAGTTACTAGCTGATGCTGTTGCTACTGGTTGAGGGCCATGTTTTGACTATGATGGATAACGAGTTAAGTAATAAGACCTTCCTTGATTTCACCTCAAGTTACTGTTGAGAATCTTAGGTAGCATAGCATAAAGAGCCAAAGACAAGTACTAGGTTTCCTGGTAGTTACTGTCTGTTAGGACCTTGAACAAGTTATTTGCCTGTGTTTGAATAACTTCATTAGGCAGTTATAATTAACTCCACTTCCCCTAGTTATAAGACACTTGTCTAATAAGGTTATTGAAATACTTGAATGTGTTCATACATGTGAGATTGTTAGATGCCTGATACAGCTTTAACAAGTGCTATAAATTTAAGTAGTTTTCTTTTAAGAAAACTGGTAATTGCTTGGAATGGTGTATTTCAGTTATATCAGGGTTGTGTAGTTACCCTGAAAAATAAAATTCTTAATTTAAAAAAAAATATATGAGTTCCAACCAACCAACTTTTTTTTTTCATTTTCTACATTAATTCACTATACACTATCACACCACACAAATGAATTTTCCATCCAAAATACACTGTGCATTGGCTCAGTCAAGCACATCAACATACATGTTCTCAGCAAATAATTTTCCAATTCTTATGTCCTGCATACCTTGCCTTTTGTTTTGCCATCCTTGATTCCCCATCCCCCATCCTCTTCTATGTCCCATCCTCCTCCCCCACTGTCCCTGGCATCCACGGTTGCCCTCCATGCCTTGCCCCCCCCCATTCAATTGTTCTGCCAATGAACTTAATTAGTCTAAATATATCCAATAGCTAGCACAGCTGACACATACCTATACATGAACCCAAGTCTGACTTTAGGCATAAACCCCAGTGAGTAGAATGAACATACTATAAGGTAGTACCCAGCTGTGCCCACACAGCTCACTGCAGTCGTATTTTTTTTTTTTTTTTTTTTTTTTTTTTCAAAATGATATGAAAATTTTTCCCTTTTTTTTTTTTTTCCTCCTGCAACTTTTTTTTCTTTTTTTTTTATTACCTAACATTCATTCCCTGGGCATCATCACAACATACAAATGTGGTTTCCCATGTAGGATAAACTGCATAGTGGCTTAATCAAGCATGTTATCATCAATAATATTCCATTTCTACTTTCATACATATGTATACATATATATATGTTTTTTATCCTATGTTTGACCCTCTGCCCTTTCCCCCTCTCCCATTACACTATCTCTGCTATATACAGTTGTCTTCCAGAGGAGTTATTGAAAATGTGATACATGCAAGTAAAGGGAGAGGGGCCACGAGTTTAAAGTTTTTAACAATAGGGAACATAGATTCCATTCAAGGTTGGATCAAGGGTGGGTCTCATGCAGTTCTGCAATTGTAGGTGAGTC